TGAACTGCCAGCTCCAGCTCGCGTTGTAGAGGAAAGGCCTGAGGTCGAAGCGGTTGTCGTCAGGACTGTAGCTCTCGGCGTGGTAGGACGGCGTGACCGTGGTCATCTTGTGGCGGTTCGCCGAGTACATCCTGAAGAAGCGCTTGACCTTCTGGGCCACCTGAAGGAAAACCACGAGCTTGCTTCAGGTTAGGCTGCCGGGGTCACGACCTTCATACCTGTGGCCACTCAGACTGACCTCTGAGGGCGAGAGGGCGTCCCTCCACGTGTGAATGAGTTTACAGAACATGCTGAAGGGGCCGCACTTGGAGATCTTCCTCAGTCGTCCGATCACAGACAGCTCAGAGTAGGTCATCCCCATGTCGGCCTGCAGGGGGAGCACACACAGCGGTTTGTGTGCAGCATTGCGACAACAATCATGTCTGTCATACAAACTTGTTTCATTCTTAAGTGTCAGAGCGATGAAGGCCCGTCTGCGTCTCACCTCATCGGTCTGAGAAACTCGCCCGTCTGTCAGCGGCTCGAGCTCGGCGGTGGGCGGAGCTGCCAGGATGCTGCAGAGGAAACAAAACCACTGACAAACTGAAAAACCACACGAGATGCTCTGAGAAATAACTCCAGTGTGAAACCGCAGCTGCAGCCAGGGGGGGGCCGCAGCGGCGCAGACCCCCCCGGCCTTACCTTCTCAGAGCAGTGAGCTGCAGCTGCTCGGCGCAGTGCAGCAGGAAGCGCTTCAGGTCCGTCTTACTGATGCCTCCGATCGGGTTGATGTCGGCGCTCGAGCAGTCGTATTTGGTGAAGTAACCTGTGAGGCTGAGCAGGACGACGCCGTTATTCTATATGCCGCGTGAGCCGCACTAACAGTGAAAACGGCGAGCGCGGCGGCGGGTACCTCTCATCCACGTTAGCAGAGCCGAGCACCAGCAAGCCCCCGGGTCTGCCCCGAGCCCACAGGCTGAGCTGGGCAAACAGGTAAGCCAGGACCATCCTGACCCGAGCCTGAGGACACACAGGAAGTGAACACTGAAGTTCAGCCGGGTCGCGATGGCGTTACGCGAACGCTGCGGTTAAACCGCCAGAGGCGCTGCACGCCACAAACATCTGCAGCTTCTGACCTGCACGTTCTGCAGAGCCAGGTTTTCTCTCGCACTTCCCCCGCTCGCACGAAACTGAGGCCACCGTCCGGTAACCGCCGAGAAGATACCCAGAATGCCTTTCACCGCCACGTCTATGTTGATGTTCATGTGCGTGCTGCAGGAGACACAACGAGTCAGAGCTGTGCGCCTCTCAGCGTCGTGGTCTTAACCACGGATCTACCCGCTTCCTACCTGCCGATCTGATTGGCGAGGTCTCTGGCCCTGCTGCGCGTGTCCTCGGACGAGTTTTCGCTCGCCATGTAGCAGGTGGTGAAGACGCGAGCGCACAGCTCCTTCGGGTCCTGCGGATGATACGACTCGTCGCCGACCACCCTGCGGACGTCTTCCAGCACCCGACTGTCTGTGAGGAAGACAGAGCAGCAGGCAGGAAGTTACATCACTCCTGCTTCCTGTTTATCTCCTGAAAGCAGCAAACCCTCAGATTTGTTTTACTCTGAACGCTCAGCTCAAAATGCTCCGACTGAAGATCTGCACAGTTAATATTCACCAATAACAGAACATAATCAGCATCATCATGATGAAGAGGAGGGTACTCACTGCCGCCCTCGACGGCGCGGCACAGCAGCACGCACATGCAGTGGACGATGCAGGCGGTGGAGGAGCTGTCGACGCCGCCGCTCAGAGGCAGCAGGAAACCAGCCTGAACACAAA